CATCCACAAGATATACAATTATATGTGTCAATCAAGTAATAAAGTTTTATGAAAGAGTGTTGACCCCACAATGAAGTGTTCTATTAACATGCAAGTAAATTAGTATAACCTTCTATAGCTATAATGTTTATCCTATTGAAAGAATATTAGGGTTTGGTTATATCTCTATAGAGAATTGCATAAGAAAATATAAGATACAAGTTGATAAAATTTTTTAGACTAAAAATGTGAATTTATCAAGTTCTCCTATGAAGACTCTCTTTGGTTGATGTGGATAAGAGCATAAGCATCCTTAGATATCTACATAGCTTATAGGGATATAAAGGAGTGTTTTATGGTCTTGTTATAATGATGTCATCTCTATAAAAACTAAAAGGTTAAACATCTTTTATCTATGCATGCAAACTATCTAATCTAGTACTCCAACTTGTTCCAATATTCCTTTTAAGGCAATATATTACATTAGTTCACAAGTCTAATGGAATTTTAGGTCTACTAGTCCATTGACAACATATATAAAATCAAGAATGGGTAGACTAGGGTTGAGTCTATCTATAATTTTAATTTCAATGTATTTTTGTCTTTTTTAAGTCAAATGATGTATCTAGTGGACATTAGGCTGAGTAACATTACATACATACACTCAAAGGAGTGACTTGATAAAATTTTTAGTTTTGAACTAAACTTATTAGATGATTCATATCATAATTTGGTTTTTGGTTTTTGAACTAAGTGATGTATATCATACTGGATGATTAGTTAAAAAAAACTGTAATTAGGGCACCTCTATTAATCCAGAGTGATTAAACAAATCATACTGGATGATTCATATCATATAGGATGATCAGTTATGATTATAAAAAATAGCCGCCAATCATAATTTAGGCAATATTTAACATTTTTTTAATTTAATCATACAATACGATATACATTGTATTGGATGATTTTTTACAATCATACCTAAATTGATACTATGATTAAGTGACTAAATATGATAGAATTTCTTCATTATATTGTACAGGATGATCAGTGATGATCTTATTGGATGACCCAAGAGATACATAGGATAGTACTTAATCCTCCCGCATCATACAGTATGAAAAACCATGATTTTTCTTCAAATCATACAGGATGACCTGTGAGATGTATTGGATAATATTTAAATCATCATTCATCATCACTTGTCATACAGGATAATAATTATATTATCTTCAACTAATCGTGCAGAAAAATAGCATAGACATTTAGGACGATCAGTACAAAATACCTGAACTAGTCGTACAAGAAAATATGGGTCGTGTTATCTAAAATGGCTATTTTTTACTAATAATACCTGATGATCTAACGATTATACTGGACGATATTTGATGGCAAATTAAAAATAAGGGCTTCTTTTTTAGGCTCTCTATTTAATCTCTCATATCTATCTTTAAGAGATCTTTAGATGTTATTTTGTCTTGAGAGTGAGCTTAGAGGAAGATATGGAGAGCTTCGAGAGAGAAGAAATGGAGAGATCCATGTGAGGGGGAGTTGTGAGAGATTCACAAAGGTTACTCCAAGCAAGGTTTTCTTCATCTTCTTTAATCTGCTTTCTTGATTCCTTGGTGACTCTAGGGAGACATTCTTTACCATCAAATTTAGGTTCTCAGCCTACTCCAGGAGGGAGTAAAATGATTTAAGTTCTCAGCCTTCACCAAGAGGGTAAAAAAGATTCAAGGTGCTCTGCCTCATTGGGTTGGTGGAAGAGATTTTTGTATGGGCTTCTCCGCTTAGCTGTTGGGGCAAAATGAGAGACACTAAAGGTTTAGTGAAATATCAAAGGACGCCTCCATGGAGTGGACGTAAGTAAAATTTGATCGAACCACTAAAAAATTTAGTGTGAACACTCTTTTACTTTTCTACCTTTTAATTTCTACACTCGCTTGTGATTTTTGTATGGTTGAAATTTCTTATTATTGTAAACATAATCTTCTTCTACATTGTGGGATAATCTTGTTTATTTAAAAAGATAAATTGACTTTTTTTTTTCTTTAAGTATTTTTTAAAATATCCAATTCACCCCCTCCCCCATCTAGGTTAGCCTTGGGCTTGTTCTTAAAGTTTTAACAACTTCACGAAATTTCCAAAATATGCCTAGATTTTTTTGATGTACAACACCCACTGGATATAAAAGTATATTTGTAGATCAAGCAATAAAGTTATATGAATGAGTGATGACCCACTAGGAAGGGTTATACTAACATGCAAGTAAATTAGTACAACCTAATTATTCTATAATATTTATCCTATTGAATGAAAATTAGGGCTTGGTTCTATCTCTATAGAGAATTACATAAGAAAATATAAATACAAGTTGGTAAAAGTTTTTAGACTAAGGAATGTTAGTCTCCCAAGTTTTCCTACTAAGACTCTCTTTTGTTGATGTGGATCAGAGCATAATTATTCTTATATCACTACAGAGCTTATAAGGATGCAAAGGGGAGTTTTTTTGTCTAATTATAATTATTGCATCTCCATAAAACCTTGAATGTTAAACTTCTTATGTCTATGCATGCAAACTTTCTATTCTAGTACTCCAATTTGTTCCAATATTCCTTTATTGAGGCAACATATTACAATAGTTTTTAACTACACTCATAGCCACTAAATGCATAAATTTAAGATCATGAGATATTGAAAACTTTTATTTCTCATTGAAAAGAGTAAGATTACAATAGTGCTAAAATTGGATGTACATCATTAGCCAAAATTATGGAATTATATAGATATATAATAAGAAATAAAAAAAATTTGATATTATTGCTTGCCACCTAAATAGTATAAATGGTCTCTCCAGACTTCTTTCCCCTCAAATTATCTTATTCCTTAAAATTTTGACAGAACTCATGACAGATGCCGCTTAAAAACTATTTATATTAAGTTTAAAAATAGACACAAGCGTTGCAACACTCAACATGGTAGAATCATGGCATTGTAGAATTAACATGACCACGACACTATTTATCTTGCTTTATTGCATTGCTACATTGACTCAGTGTAACTATTAACTGACTCGGTGTGTTGCTTGGCAATTTTTTGCATGACTTCATTTTTTATCAACTAGCATTCCACATAATTCCAAAAATTGAGCACTATGGCATTTGAATGTGTAATTTGACATTACGGCATAGTAAATCATAATGCTCCGAAACATAAACTCTCAAGACTTTCATGGTGCATTGTTGATTTTTTGTATTCCAATGTTATAAAGTTTTACAATACTAACCTTGCCTCTGTTTGGGTGCTAAATTAATTATATTTTTTATTGAGCCTCCAACACTATAAATTCCTAATCAAACATTGAGGTGTTATGGATGATGCAAAGCTAGTAGATGGAGCATTGCGATGCTTGTTGAACACCTATGAAATTTTTTTTCCATTGAGCATTTCCTACATTACATTACCTAAAAAATATATAAATTTTTACTGATATTTAAGCAAAAAAATGCTATTAAATTTACACTAAACATTAATCTCATTCTTAAATGATGAAAATGTTATTTCTTATCTATAAAAGATTCTTAGGATATAAGAAACTTATAGGAGATACTAGGAGGTTAACCATGGCAATTGTATTAACTAAATTCTAAAAATCTCATAAACTAGTTATATATTCACTATTGGCCTTAAATGGTGTTGGTGGAAGTTTGAAAACATGTTTTGAAAAATATTAGTTTTCTTTGGGAATTTTAAAATTGAGATTGAACTCTAATTCTATAAGTCGAATCAACTCGTTCGAAAAAGTATATCGCCTCGAAGGACAAAAATAAAATTCCATAACAGTGTTCAGACTTAGAATCGTGTAATTCATCTTGAATATCATGGCTAGAT